AAAATTAATAGCTATTTTTAAATATTCTATTGTTTATATTAAATACACATCTCGACGGAACATAGATGTCGTTGATCTAAATTCTTCGAAGTAGAGGTCGCTACAAGAATAGGAAAGGTGCTGCCATCTTCCGAAATTTTCATTTTTATTCTTTTAGTTTCAATCAAAGATGGAAAGTGCTTAGATGGCAGCACATCACGCATATCTGTCCTTGTCGCACACTATTGCGCTCCTTGTCGACAAGCGAATGTATAGGTGTACGTAGATCCCTTGGTTAATTTACAATGCTATCACTAGGTGGCCAATAAGCTGAGAGTTTTCTCACAGCTAAGATAGTAATTTGGGAATAATATAAAGGCTGCAATTTCGTAGAGACATCAAGATCATACTCCACAGGATCATTTCTGTAGTAGATCTTACTCCGTTCTAAACCAAAGGACGAGTTAATGCAGCCATGATGAGGAGGTATAGTATCTTTCCCTGAGCGTGAGGCAGACTCGGGAGATTGACTTTGGTTTCAATCTCTCAGTCATCGATGATCGTTCAGTCCTTGCACTTAGTGCAAGGATGATGGGAAGGATACGTTCTGAGTGGTTGTTTTTATTAATTAACAAAAAAACAATTTTCTTTATTGAAAGTAAAACTTTTTCAGGTAAATACGAACTTGGAAAATAATGAAATTCTATGACAAATTTTTGCAATGTGTAATTAAATAGTGAAAAAAAATAATACAATGTTGTGTTTTACGTATGAAATTAATTTTATTGCCATATTGATGTAATTTTTATTTAATTTCTTGAAGTACTTACTGTTTAGTTCAGAAGATTTTTAAATTGTATAAAAATGATATAATCGATATATTAATTTACAATTTTTCTCTTCCTTATAGGTCCCTTCTATAACAGAGTGGCTGAAACACGAGTTTCACAGCCAAAATGTGCGTATTGGCGCCGACCCAACGCTCGTATCTGCCATCGATTGGGAAACTTGGGAAGATGAATTAGGTAATGAAAGGCAGCCATAAAAACTAATATATACCTATTTCAAATTTATAGATAGTTATGCCATGTCTGATATCGTATCACAATAGTTCTAAAACATTAAACACATCAAATTATTGACAAATTATTTGTTGTCCATAAAAACAAAAAATAATAAACAATAGTTGGTATTGATTCACATACTACTTCAATAAACTTTAACTACTTTTCCATTACATTATTCTTTCATGCGAAGTGTTATCAATTTTTATCAAATTTTGCCGCTATTCAACTGAGGGCGCTTTTAAATTAACAATAGCATTCATGTCCAGCGAATTCATCCATAAGATTGGTTCCTGTCCGTAACAACCTGGTGGACTTGATCTGGCAGATCGATCGACCGAGTTATAATCCACATCCGGCGTATCCTTTGCCAGACAAATATTCCGGAAAAGCCTGGCAGGACAAAGTCCAGTTGATCCGTGTCGAAATGGAGTCCTACAAAGCTGATGCGCTAATTCTCACAGCCCTCGACGAAATAGCCTGGCTGTTCAATATTCGTGGATACGATCTGCCAAACACGCCAGTTCTCAGAGCATATGCGGTTGTTACTCACGGATCGATACATCTGTATGCTCCACGGCATAAGATTTTAAGATCGATCGACGAACATTTAAAAATGGACTTTTGCTCGCATGCAAATTGCGTGACGTGAGTAAACTATTGTTTCGTGGATGAACTTTATTTTCAAATTGTATGGTAATTGTCGTAGGTTGCACAACTACACTTCTATTTGGTACGATTTACGAACAATGTCTCAAGCTTGGAACTTAGTATGGCTGCCAACGCGATGCGCTTACAGTCCAGGTGCCTCTATGGAAATATTTAACTCTGTACGTATCAATTTAGATTCGTCTCGATAATTCATCAAAATTATCATTTTGTCACATAAATATAAGATAAAGTATTTTTACAATTACAAGGAAAATATCAGTAAAGTACAGTTACTCTTTATGATTCATTCTATACCACGTATTAAAATATGCTCTTCTATTTATTTTAATTTCAGTACGTAGTACCGAATATTAAATAAAAGAAAAAAAAGAGGTTGAAGAAGTAGTATTCGAATAGAGTTACCTCCTAGTTCGCGCCATTTTACCGAATACGGTGAGATTCAACTATAGGCACATTAGAGCGGATAATCCTAGGCAAAAATACATCTTCTGCGACATGTTCTCCTATCCACATAGAGCTTGTTGAGCTTAGCTTGATCCCCACGTGACGAGCTGACACACCTTCATAGACATAGACTAAACGTGATCGTTTCTCTCTAGTCCAATGTTTGCACGATGTTTCTTCTCATTATTGCATATCGTTAAGGTAGAGATTGTACTATTGGCAAATAAATAGAATGATATCTAACGCGTTCTGTACGATGCTCATGATGGTGGAACGGTTTCACCTTCTTCTCGACATGATAGCCGGTGCTTCGGGACGCTTGGACGCCCGCGGCACCAGAAATCAGGGAGCATTTCCCATCTAGTTCTGTACAAATGATTCAATAAACAGGATTTGAATTAGATATGATGTTGTATTTATAGTTTAATAAAATATATGTTTATTTATTTTAAATCTAAGTCTGTATTAATAATGTTAAAATCGTTAAAAATCACTTCTTGTCAACAAATATCATTATGAACTAGTTTACAATAGATATTCGCTAAACAGTTATCAATTTTTTTAACTTCCGAATTTATACTGAAATATCAATAAATTTCGTTGAATTTTGTAAACTTACCTTCGTAGATTCCTGCAGAGAAACGGTTGCCAAAACCGTCGCCGGTATTGAGCTTACGAGCACAGAAAAACGAAATTGAAGCAGAAGGGATGAGGAGATCTCACTTAAGGGACGCAGCGATGATGTGCGATTTCCTTGCGTATATGGAGGAACAGTACGAACTGAATTCAGACAGTTGGGACGAGATGCAGGTAGCGAGATTGGCAAACGAGTTTCGTTACGAACAGGACAAGAATAAAGGCATCTCGTTTCCTACTATCGCTGGATATGGACCCCATGCTGCTATTCCCCATTACGAGCCCAACAACTTAACGAACATTAAGATTGGAAAAACGTCTACTTTGGTTGTGGATTCAGGAGGGCAATATTTAGGTGGAATGGAATTTTTATCCTAACAAAAATTTATATAAATATTATCTTTTCTGAATACTTGGAAGAGATTTCATTTTACCCCACGAATTAAATTAAAATTATGAAACTTTTTTACATAACTTTTCAACATTTTTTTCAATATTTAACAGATGGAACTACAGATGTTACGAGAACGCTACATTTTGGTACGCCAACGGAAGAACAGAAAAAAGCATACACAAGAGTGTTAATCGGAGCAATACAATTATCCTCGTTAATTTTTCCGAGCAGTTTAAAATCCAACCAGCTGGATATCGTCGCAAGAGCACCATTATGGAACACTGGTTACGACTATTTGCACGGAACTGGCCATGGGATCGGTCACTTTTTGTCTGTCCACGAATGTTTGTCTCATTATTTTGGAAAAATTAAAGACTTAATTATGTAGTGTTAGTCGTACGATCCGTGATTTGAATTTACAAATCATCAGAAATCAAGAAATTAATTGAATTTAAAGCTTTGATTGAATTTTCAAATTGTCATTCATTGATACTAATTGCAATGTTCATATGTTTCTAGCACCTATTGGTGTATCATACGGACAGCCTGCATCATCAGACAAAATTTGCGGACCTGTTGAATTAAAACCAGGATTTTTTTTATCGAATGAACCCGGTTACTACAAAGAAGGCGATTTCGGCGTTCGTTTGGAGAACATTCTTGAAACGGTGGAAGCAGGCAAATCAGTGGGTAGTTTAATTAAAATTATTCCAAAATTGGAGAAATTCTCGATAAAAGTACATGTTCTTTCAGAAAACTTCGGAAAGTTTTTTGAAATTCAGGGACGTCACATTAGTTCCATATGAACCGAAGTTGATTAATTATGATATGTTAAATCCATCTCATGTGGGTATTTTTCATTAATTAACATTAATTAATTAATTAGAAAGTACTTTATATATGTGTAAAATTTTCAAAAATATATCAATAATTCTCCAGATACGATGGATAAATAACTATAATCGTCGAATTAGAGATGAAGTAGGTCCAGAATTAAAGAGAAAATTAAAAATGGATGCTTTCAATTGGATGTTAAAAAAAACAGCAACTATTCCAGAAGTAAAGCTAATCGATGAAGGTTTGCTTTTTGGCCATTCTGATTCAACGCCTTCTACATGCAAACAATTCCATATATTAGTTTATCTGATTTCGTTGTATTACATTCTATGCAGTAAGTACATGAAGATAATAAAATTTTGTCCACAATAAAAAGTTTGACTTCTTGAAATTTTCATGTTTATGTTTTAGATTTTCCAGATATGTGGAGTTAATTAAGATGTGTCCAAAAGGGTAGTGAACAAATGTATGATTTAAAAATGACTTATGCCAGAGAGAAACAGTTTCAAAATTGTGCTTAAACTAGTGTTATTTTAATATATATTAAAGTTATTATTTTTGTACGTACTGCCAATTCTATATACAGATTTTGCAACCATACTATAAATAGTATGACAGTATCATTGAAAGATAAAAACAAGTATTTTTGGCATGTAAAAAAATTTAGTATATATACATGTATATACATGTATAGAAATATTTATAACTTATATTTTGTAAATATCTATAATGTAATCTAATTTATTGTACGTATAAAGGTCAAAAATATTACATTGTATTTTACTTATTGATAAACAATTTTCTAGAAATTAGTTCAATTCCAAAATATACAAAAATCAAAAGGAAAGTATCTATTAATAATAATGTTGTGTATTCATTTTTTCATTCATGTTTCCTTTCCTTCTATTGGTATATTAAATTGCTAAAATGTTTAGTAGTCAAAACATTAAATAAAGTAAAATTAAATTAAGATAATTTATTATTATTTTTGATAAATTATTTTTTTATTATCTTAACTACACATTCTCTTAACTACATTTTACAAAATCAATTTTTTTTCTTATCATCTAGCATCAATGGAGTTTCTTCTTTCAAATGATGAAAAAGTTTAAAATTTTGTAAAATATTTTCTGAAACAATTATGTACATAATATTTTAAATATTTGAAACAAATTTAAAAAATATAAATTTACTTTTATAATATTAACATATTTTTGTCTAATATACTCTAATATCTCTTACCTACTGTTTTTTTATCTATTTTGTAGTCTTGAGATATTCTTTCTATAGAATATTCCGTTTTATTTTCTTGATGCTTAGTTATAAATTCTACTATTTGATTTACAGTACATTTACCCCTAATAGGTACAATTGATTTAGAAATTTCATCTAAGGAATAATGACTCCTATCCTGTGGTAATGGTCTATGTGATGTTGGTGTAATCTAACGATAAAACAAATATTAGTTTAAGACTTCATTGTAACTTTAAGTTACAAACATATAAATATATTCATAAAAGATTTCTAAGTGAGATATACCTCTGGGTCTTTAGACTGAACAAAAACATTCTTTAAACGATCATGTAATTCAGGATCCTTTTTTAACATAGTCTCTTTAAAATCAGGTTTTACTGAAATGGAAATAAATTTTAGAAATACATAAAGCTACTATTGTCCGACATAAAAAATGACAGATTTTTTGAAATTTACAAACATTATTATTTAAAAATCAAACCAAAATTTTGTTACATTAGAACTAAACAGATAAGAATAATTGTTTTCATTAATCAAACATGCAGACTACATCTTATAAAATAATTCTTTTGTTCTTAACTCTAGTAATGATGATTGTCAAAAGAATAGGAATTGAATTATTGAGAGAAAAATTTACATTTATCCACTAGCTCTTTTTGTTTTTCTACGGATGGATATTGAGGAGCAGGAACTGGTTTCTTCCTTTCAAGAATACGTGCTGTACGATTTTCAATGTTAAATGAACGAATTGGCCGTGTCATATAAGAATACACCTTTCCCATTTCTGTAACAAAAAGTGATATGCATACAATATATACATATTTAAAAGTATAACTTAAACTGTATTTTATCTTCCATTTGAAAACACAGAATTGTTATTTAAACTATGTATTTTATAAAAATTTGTACATATATTTAAAAAATGATACTTTTAAGAAATCATCACGTGTTCATGTCAATTTTTTGGTTAATATTGTTGCCAATTCAATACCTTGATCTTTATGCAATAATATTATCCTATTTAAAATAAATCTCCTAAATATCAAGTTACATAACAAAGTTTTTATTTCAAATTATGAAAACATTATTAAAAGCTATTAGTGCTATTGAAAATATTACTACGTAATTGTATGAATGAAATTTTTATATATATGTATATTCTGTATTAGAAATATATTCTATAAATTCTCTCTAAATGCTACTTAATAACAGTGTCTCACCATAAATCTCAAATAAATATAATTATAAATTTTGATATTACACATATTTTACGACAAAAAGATATTTCTAGGAAAATGTATAAAATACTAAATATTATTGGTGAAAACAAGAAATCGAGAATAATATATGTAATGGATATATTTTAATTTTCTCTTATTCACACATGGCTTAACGTGTATTAATTAATTGTGGAATAAAAGACAAAACTAAAGATAATTATATAAATATTTGATATAGACATTTAACTTATCGTAGTTTAAAAGGACAGAATTTTGTAGATTTATGAACATATCTACTCGTCACTAGTAGAGGGAGTTTTGGAACGTTCAGTGAAATTAGTAGCAGATTCTTGTGAAGACGCGCTGAAAAGAAACGTACCGTATGTGTCAATGATTTTCTAATATATCAGTTAAATGTAACAATTTACATGAAATATGAAATTAATAATTTAAGATTTGTCGTTAAAGAGTTATCATAACACCTCTTATACAGAAATAGAATAGAACATACTACGTATTCAACAGCTTACGCGTAACCGCCAAAATTACGGACAGAAACGCCATCTTGTGCAAAGATGTTGACATTTTACTAAATTAAGAAAAATTACATGATCGCTATTTTGTTCGAGTCCCACGGCTCGATTTTCAGTGTTTATAAATATTAAAAATGCTAACTTCATACATTAATTGACACATCAGCCGGTTTTATCAATTATAAGGTGATAATTATGTTGCTAACGAAAAGTCGCGTTAACTTATTAGCCTCTTGTGTTTAAGTTTGTGTTTACAAACACAACAGACTGAATCTTTTTAACTAGTTTCATTAATATCGTATAATTTTATTTGCAGGAAGGAGGCATAGCACGAGTTAAAAATGTTTTACGCACATTTCGTATTGGCCAAGAAAGGGCCATTAGCGCGCATTTGGTTAGCCGCTCATTGGGACAAAAAATTAACAAAAGCCCACGTATTCGAAACAAATATTGAAAAATCTGTAGATGGTATTTTACAGCCAAAGGTACTTATAAAATACACCTATTTGAATTTGTATACGAACTCGTAAATTTTAAACATTTACAAATATATAAATATAACAAATTTTTTCATTTAATCTTATTTCTTAAAATATAATTTTTTTCTATGAAAGTAGTTCTTGATATTTCTACTAAATATATGATTTCATTTTTCATTTCATTATTTTATTGTAGGTAAAAATGGCTTTAAGAACATCTGGTCATTTGTTACTGGGTGTAGTGCGTATATATTCAAGAAAGGCTAAATATCTCTTAGCTGATTGTAATGAGGCTTTTGTCAAAATAAAAATGGCCTTCAGGCCTGGCATGGTAGATTTACCGGAAGAGCATAGAGAAGCTGCTGTAACAGCTATAACATTACCTGAAGTGTTTCATGATTTTGATACAGCAATGCCAGAATTAAAGTAAATATATAAAAATTAAATATAAACTATGATGAAATTAACTGCATAAATGTAGAAGCCTGTCTTATAAAAATTGTTATTTAATAATAATACTTTATTTCAGAGATGTTGATATTGAAGCACAATTTAGTTTAAATCAATCACGGGCAGAAGAAATCACTATGAGAGAAGATTATGGTAATTTAGCTTTAGTTACACATGATCAAGGATTTGGAGACATGAGTTTCGATGCAGAACCTCCAGAATTATTAAGACATGCAGGTGCTGTAGAACCGTCATTAGATCAGGTATGTTTTTGTCACTATGTATATTAATATCTTTTATGAAGAGTAAAATCTATATAAATTTTTTAGACTCATATGTTGTTCACTGATGGACCAGGCATTGAAGCGGCTTTAGAACAAAAAGAAAAAGAACCAGTACCAGGTCCATCAGTAACAGCACAAGCTATGGATATAGATATGCCAATTAGAGATGATGGTTTTGGTGGTCATCTTGGTCAAGATATTATATGTAAGCAAGCTACATTAATGAATGGAACCAATTAAAAGGATAATTGTGTTTATAACACTTTATTTTTTTATTTAGCTGGTGGATTGTTTGAGGGTGGTTTATTTGATGAAGCACCAATGGGTGAAGTACCTGTACCTGAAGTTAGTGCTGTAACAGAAACACAAGAACCAGGTGTAGTTTCTGGAGGTCCACCTTCTGTACATGATGAATCAGAAGAAGAAATGGGAGATCGTTTTGGTGGCCCACCATCTCCAATGGATGGAATGAGGTAATCAATGAATTATATATTGCATGAAAAATATAAAAATTTGTATTAACACGTTAAATGCCATGGAGACCATCGGTGACCAGAATCGAAAATTAGTAAAAATACATAATTCGAATAAATTTTTTCAATATTGACTTTGTTATTATAATGATGTGAAGAAATTAATGCAGTATAAAGCATACAAAAATTATTTTACTTATAATATTATTCGCGCACATTGTGGTATGTCATAATTAAAGCACTGCAAACAAAGAAAAAGTAAATCAATACAGTCTTCACAATGTGACGACTTTTTTGGTACAATTTTTTGTTTTTGTTCCATCTAATTGTTTCGAATTTTTTTTATAACATCTTTTACAAAGTCGTCGCCCGATCCTGGTTTTCTTGTCATTTATTCCATTTCATGGCATAGTTTTCTCTATAGGCTTGTTCGTAAAGAAATGTAACTTTCAGTTTCACTATATCGTAAAAAATAAATGAAAATCGAAGAAACGTATTTCAGCGCCATGGGGGTCACCAGTGACCCTCAATAAAATCCATTAAATATGTTTATATGTTTCAACTTATCTGTTGCAGATAATATTTCAACATAACACCTATAATAGTACCTTATATAATACTTTGTATAAGAAATTTAGCGTGGCATTCAATGTGTTAAATAAATATTTGTATGATATTAAATTTAATATATTTTGTGTAGTACTGACGAATCTAGACCCGTATCTCCAGCTGCACCTGGTGAAGAAATTGAAGGAAGAATAAGTGTTGCAAGTCGACGTTTTACTCCTGCTCCACCAAATGTCCCTGAAGAACGTCCAATGGAACCCATGGAAGAAGCTCCACCTTTGCAGGATCAGACTACATTATTACATGATGAAGAAGAAAGTTTCGCTCTCGCACCTGTTGATGCATCTGCTTTAAAAGGTTTGTAACATTATAATATTTTATTTCAATTGTAATATTAACTGTTGTATACTAACTTCAATAAAATTAATAGGATTCACAAAAGCAAAACGCAAGCGTAAACTCATTGTGGATGAAGTAAAAAATATTTCTGGTGAAGAAATGAAAGCACAATTATCAGATATTAGTGATATTATTACCACGTTAGATTTGGCACCGCCCACAAAAAGATTAATGCATTGGAAAGAAACTGGTGGGGTTGAAAAATTGTTTGCTTTACCAGGAAGACCAATACCGGCACGTGTATTATTTAAGGTAAATTAAACGTTTATTGACGTATTTCGTATTAACATATATATTTGCTATTTAACAAAAATGTAATTCTGTTTTTTAAAAATATAGAATTATCAACGGCATTTAACTAGCAAGTCTTATGATCATGAGGACTTTGGACGTTTAGTAGGTGAAGAGGAAGGTATGTCTTTAGAACAAATGAGAGAACCTGCGGAACCTGATACATATGAACAAACTATTCTCAGTAAACGGATGGCTCGCAAACGAAAAGCTCCAGCAGATGAAGAGGTACTTTATGTTATCTATTTGTTGTTTTTTTTTTTTTTTTTTTTTTTTGTTTTCTTTTTTTTAAATTTTAATAAGCACTAGTTACAAAAGTTTATTGACATTCTATTATTTTTAGATAAGACCACCACCTCCAGCGCCAGCACCTCCTCCAGTAGATGCTGCTCCTGAAACAGTGGAAGTTCCTAGTATAGTTCCCCAACCAAGTCTTCCCCCTGCAGAATTATCAATATCTCCACCTGAAGTATCTTTACCAACTGAATCATCAGTATCCGAAATTAGTGGTATGGTGCCTCCTCTTGAAGAAGTAGAAATGGTTCCTGCAGTTCCCGAAGCATCTTTACTTCCTTCAGAAATTCCTGAAATTCCTCCTACTGAAGTTATTGCTACATCTGAAGAATCAGTTGTTCCACCTGCGCCAATGGAATCAGAAGTCATTCCTACGCCTGTTGAAATGCCTCAAATGGAAAATATGGGCTACGATCAGGTTAGTTTTGTTGAATATATAAATATTTGTACAATATATAACTAATTTGCCTATACATAATAGGCGCAACCTCAGGAATCTTTTGGCATGGGTTATGATGAACATCCTCCACCACCTCACACACCAGCTGTATCAGAAAGAGGGCCAGCAACACCATGGAATCATGAAGATTATGAATTTCCGCCATCTGTAGGACCTGTATGCATGATGTTTATTTACTTATATTAATTAGACACTATAAGTATATAGTGTAATTCTTTTTTATTTTTACAGCAAGAAGAACAACAAGTAGATGAAACTTATGAACAGTTCGAAGAACGAGTTCTTAACAAAAGAGCTTCGCACATGTATCATGTCATCAAAAGTAAACTAGACACCAAAGATAGACTTACACTGTCGGAAATGGCATATAAAAACAATCGTAAACAGGTTTGTACTTTAGAGTGTAATTAGCAGAAAATTATGTAATCTATATTATTATTAATTATTTTTTTAGGTTGCACAAAAATTCTACACATTATTAGTTCTAAAAAAATTCCAAGTATTAGAACTCAATCAAGACTATCCATATACTGAAATTGTAGTCAGCAAAGGACCAAAATTCGAGACTCCTGCATTATAAAATTACTCTAGGTATTTCTTACGTTACATTTATTGTTAAAAAATGACGGACAAAGATGATTGTAGTTATTTTTAACCGTACATAAAATAAGCGATTTATCTAAATCCTTTTAAAAGATAAATTGTAAAATAGCTATTATAACTCTTGGGAGAATATCGGCATAAGATAAAGAATTTTGTAAATCATGTTTTAGATTCCTGATTCAGGAATGTATACGTTTTGTATAAAACAGAGCAAAATTATTTTGGACCTTCTGTATTTTTATTGTGATAAAAACGATTTAATCAAATGCAAATTACGAAAGAATATATAATAGTTTACATTAAAAAATCAATTGTCTTCAAATTTATTATTAATCCGAACAGGGTTTGTATATAATATTAATATGTAGCAAAAATATATCTTATATCTTAATATTTATAAGTATCTTCTTGAGTCTATGCTGCAGGATGGTCCAAAATTACTAACAATTGTCTAGGATAATTTATGAAATTTGATAAAAAAAATTCTGTTAAAAATTTTATAAAATGAGATTATGTATGGTTTAAACTTATTGTATCTATTAAATCTATATATTATTTTCAAATTTCTTAAACTTAAAAATATCAAACACCTTACAATGATTTTTTTTTCATTAGCGTACTTACACATTAATTGCTATTGTGAACAATTATTAATGGAAGAATCAAGGAAATATTTTATGGATAACGCTTTTATGTATTGCAGTCATACTTTAGGATCAATAGTTGATGATTAAGTTATTTTTCAAATATTATTTACTATTATATATTGTATACACTGGATATGCTCTGTATAGTTACTTTTTCACATGAATTATTGCAAATTTATGATCCATTATAATTTATATTTACACTGTAAACAACATTCCAAAGAACAGTGATTTAATAGTCATACTTTTTTGTTTCGATTTTTTTTATTGTACAATCGTTACATTACGCTTTAAAGAAAACTTATTCATAAAAAAATAAAAATTATTTATCTCCTATTTTTTCAAAGAAAATATCAGTATGGTTAGTAATTTAATTAGTTTGATCATGAAAAAAGAATGTTCAGTAATTTATTGTTATATACATATACCAGTTTCATGGAATACAAATGTTAAATCATATTTTTAAAAAGTATATTTTATTAAATCAACATGTCAGAAATTTCTTAAAAACAATCATATAACATTGTAAATATACATGCACAATAAGCAACATAAATTATCATTAAGCATGTAATGATGTTTAAGGCGTGTTATGAAAAAGTCGACTGCTATACTATATATTTAAAATGCCTGATTGTAAATAGTCTCATGATTCATTAATCAATATACATCTGTTTATAAAATAAAAAAAGATTTCTGAAATATTTTCTTCAAAATTTGAACCCTAAAGTACATATCACCCTAAAGTACATATACTTAAAAATATTAATCCATTATTTTCCATTAATAAACTGTTACCTATGAAAATTTATTAAATTAAAAGATTGACATTAATTTTAAGATCTTTTTTCTTTAATTATATATACGACATAACGTAATATATTTATGCATTAAGTATTTTTTTATAATAGGTGTATTTATTGTACTAAAATATATTTAAAATTGTTACTTTAAGTTAATAAATTTTCATTCCGATTATTGTACCTAGTTTTTAAAAATTACACTTTGAATGATAAATAACGTATTATATTCATTAGCTTTAAATCCTGTCACTTTTGAATTATATAATTCTTTTAATATTATTGAAGGATATAGTGATATAAATTTTACGAAAACTATAAAATTTACTGTTTTCAATGTTTTAATATATTCTCGTATTATTGTTTGAAGTGTAAAATATATACACAATATTTTTGTATGTGAAAATTTTATTTTATTCAGCAAATTCATTTATGAGAATGTATTAATATTAATGTTAAGTTGCAATTTTCTTATCGCTAAATTATGAAATAGTATTCATAATAAAGAATAAAGCTAATCTTTTTGACATAAATCATGTGAAAAAAGATGAATAAATGCATTTCAATTTTATTCTTCCAATTCGCCAGATTCCATTGCATCACGATATGATTTATCCCTTGAACGTTCTGGATCTAATTTGATCATGTCATCAATTCTAAGAATAGTTATCGCTGCTTCCGTAGCAAATTTTAAAGATTTTATTTTTGAAATTGCTGGTTCTAATACTCCGGCTTTTTTATTATCTTTAATAGTACCCTCAAGTAAATCCAAACCAACCCTATAAATTAATATTATCTTATGATTTCACTCAATACGTTTAAAGAATTTTATTGTATAGATATTTATTTAAAATATTACCATTTTAGATCTGCAAGATCTGCTTTTGTTTGACTGGAATTGTGATAAGCACGTAATTTTGCTACAAGATCTGTAGCATCCTGGGCCGCATTAACTGCTAACGTCTTCGGTATAACCAATAATGATCTAGCAAATTCAGCAATAGCTAATTGTTCTCGAGAACTCTATAAAATATAAAAAATATAAACATTTTAATCCAAGCATGATTTATTAATTTGCGACATTAGAAAAAACTAAACTTACGAGAGATGTAGCAAAATTTTCTAAATAAATTGAAAGTGCTGCTTCAACACAGCCACCTCCAGCAACCACGCTTTTACTTTCTAAAACTCGTTTTACAGCGCATAATGCATCATGCACAGATCGTTCCATTTCATCACAATAATAATCATTTGGTCCTCGTAATATCATAGAACTTGCTGTTCTTGCTTTCGGTCTATTACAAATGATATAAAATTAATTTTTACTTTTAAATTATCTTTCCTTTTAAATAATAAACTTAAAAAACAAACCCTTTGATAAGAATGAGCTCATCATCGCAAATCATTTCTTGTATTACTTCAGCGGCTTCTCCAAGAAAACTAGAATCAAAACTTTCTTCTCCTTCCATATTAGTTAAGGAAGTCAGAAATTGGGCGCCTGTAGCTTTTGCAATCCTTTTCAAATCTGCTTTTTTACATCTACGAACTGCCATTGCTTTAGCTTCTATAAAATACTAAACAAATATAAAATATTATATGAATTTGCCATACCCGAAATAAAAAAGAACAATAATTTTTATGTAATTTTTATGTAATTTAAATATACCTTTAAACAAAGATCGTCGATTCCCCCAGATACGAGAATGACATTTGTACCCACTGCAAGAATCTTTTGAATACGTTCTTTTGTAATATCTGCTTCGCGTTGTCGCACTGCTTCTAGTTTTTCAGGATCTGTAATCAATACTTCAACGCCTAATTTCATTTTTGTCTTCTGCAAAGAGAAATCTAAACATGCAATTTTTGCATTAACTATTCTTTTAGTCATTGCCTGAGAAGCTACAGTGCAATTTAGTGCATAACCCTGCACTATCACAGACTCTCTAACACTTTTTCCATGAGCTTTTAAAACATTGACTGCTTTCACAGGATATAAAAATCCTCCTTTTCCATCACTAACTTTTACTGCATTTGCAGCATCAACAACCATGTTTCCAAAGAAATCAGCATCACTATTATAATTTATTAAGAAAATAATAATGATAATATAATCAGCTGCTGTAAATATAATCATATAATTAAATAAAAATAAGGATACGCTCCAATGATCTTGCTGGACATAGAAGTTTTTGCTACATTAACTAAACAATCTCTCCCAAGCTCATCTACATTGACAGTTAAATGTTCTTGAATATATTTACAAGCTTCCCTAAAATAAATAATTGAAAATAATAAATGAAACATACATACAAAAGATCTTCATTATCGTACTTATAATTTAAGATTTTATAAATTTATTTCAATAATATAAAACACTTACTTGCAAGCAAGTCTGTATCCACTAATTACAGATGTTGGATGAATCTTCTGTTTTACAAGTTCATCAGCATTTTTTAGTAGTTCTGCTGCAACTATTACCTATTTAGATAAAGTTGTGTTGTCACTTTTTAAGTAAATTTTTAGTGAAATTTATTTAAATATAAAAATTGAATAAATGAGCTTACTACTGATGTAGTTCCATCTCCAACTTCTTCATCTTGTAATTGGGCTAATTCTACCAAAACCCTTGCAGCTGGATGTTCAACTTCTAACAAGCGTAAAATAGTTGCTCCATCATTGGTAACAGTAACATCCTATAATAATTAAAGTATAAATAAAATATACATTTGAAAAATAATATAATCAATCTTTATTCAAGTATAAAATATACCCCAATGTCATCTACAAGCATTTTATCCAAACCAACTGGACCCAAAGAACTCTTCACTATATTAGCAATTGCACATGCAGCCATAACTATAAAAGAAAGAATAAGAGAGAATAAAGTAATTACATTTCATACATCATATATAATCAAAAAAATATGCATCTTTTATTTTTAAACCTTTTTTTATTTATAATATTATTCTAAATTAAAAGATTATTTTCTCATCATAACATTATATGTATTTCGAAATCTGAAAACACATAATAACAAAAAATTTTCACAAAATAAGGAAAATCCGTATTTGAACAAACGTCGAATAAATTCAACTATAACCAAAAATTGATCAACATACCATTTTGTGTTCTTACAGGAGCTCCGGACTGTCGAATACCACCAACAACTAGAGGACTAGCTACTGTCGACATTTTACGATATTTTTGTTACTTTTCTTTAAAAATTACAGGTAAATGGCAGTTTCTAAACTTCAAATGCCAACAAAATTATATCCACCAAACTATTCGCATGTGGTTGCTACTGATTGCTGATGAAGATGATCAGCGACGCCAATCCCAATTTCAATTATTATTTCCTTTTATGGACAAGCTTAAAATTATTTTCTACTGGTTGGACTGTTCTGTATTCAATATTTAATTGGTTACGAAACTGGACAAAAAATTGTTTCCAGTATTTTCTAGAAACATTACTATATTTTTAGTATTATAATTATATGCAATACTTGATATAATTTATAAAATAATTATTTACGTATTAACTAAATCTTTTATGAAATACTGATATTATAAATTGATTGTATATTTTAAATACTTTTTTTTATTATTATGTTACTTAATTTTAAATTTTGTTTTCATAGAAATAATTTGCGAGAGTTGGCAATCGTTAGCTGATATGATATTTCTATGAAAACTAGTAAGTTACAGTGAAAACTCTTTGTTTTTTAATTATTATTTATTTTTTTGTCTTATACATTTTATTTTAAATTTTATTTAATAATCATTGATAATCTCTTTGGAAAGATGAGAAGTTTATGATTTAATGTTATAATCTATCTAGATAGAAAAGAACTAATTGTATATTATTATACTTTAAATAATTACTTTCAGATATGACACTCTTAACACAGTTGTGCGCTTACACTTTAAAAAATTCTAAATCTCTCGTGAACACTCCTACTACTAATTTAGGTTTGTGGAAAATAAATATACTATATTTATTAATCTTCATTAATATTTCTTGCAATACAAAAGAGATACTTCAAATTTATATAAAATGGATGTTATTTATGTATGTGATACTATTTTCAATTTTCATATTAATAGCATGTGTAAGATATGCATCAAAGAAAGCTAGTAGTAGTACACGTAACAAACCTTGTAATGTAAGACCAAAGCATAGAGGATGGCGAGTACAAGATGGTGCTTTTGTAGAAGAATCTACAATATTAGCTACACAACGTACAGCTAGATTTCATCCAGGATTATATGTAAATTGTATTTTTCAAAATATCCTACATATGTTATTTACTAGATAAAGATACATGGTTTGTTTCACAGGTTGGTTTTGGTAAAAATGGTACACTATATGCTTTAGAAAAAGGAAAAGTAATTGTTACCTGTGAGAAAATTGATCCAAATTTGGATCATTCTTGGGCTAGAACATATTATGCAGGCAGAGAAAACTCTGTTATATATAAAAAACATTTCAATGTTATTCCTGAACCACAAGATAATAGATTTGTATTAATTGATGCAATTTAAATAAAATTTTGTTAGTAAATAAAGTTTTGTTATAAATATCTAGAAAAAATCAAAATTGTTTCTTAATCTGTTTTATTTAATCATACATTAATACTTAAAAATATACTAATACTTATAAATTCAATACTTGAAAATATTTTACATTTATTAATCCTTTGCACTCTGAATTATTTTTCAATTATTCTTTTTTTTTAGCAATTTAAAAATGTCGAGTGTGACTCGACATAAGAATTCCTGTGATAAAAACTGATGTCAAGTCATACTCGAAAAAAGAGTGCAAAGGTGAAGAAGTGCAAAAAAGAGTGCAATATTTGAATAATATATATGATATCATATATTATACATATTATTCAAATATTGTTAAATATTTTCAAGTACAGCACTTTCTGCCCACTGGAATGATTGGTATTTTATATCTTGATTTTCAGAAAAGAAAGCGTATACTTGTGTCTTTCGAACATGGCAAGCAATTCGACACTGCGCTGAAAATTCAGTTATTGGAATTTCTTCTTTTTTATCTTTACATAAAATTATAAATTGAGAATGAAACATAATGGGATCTCCTATAAGAAAGATGTAAATAATTAAAGTATTTATCTATTCTTGTTAATATTCTCAATAAATAATATATATATTTTAGATTACCAGGATATGCTAAAAAATCTCCACCAAATTTTTCTCCATTTGTTAAATAGTATCCTTTTTCCCATAAATCTTTAAATGTTTTATATCGAAGTTGTTGTTTTTCAGTGTAAGGATACTTCCATTCCACTATTTCTATATCATCTTTACTTGTCCATGGATACACTGAAAACATATTTCTATAAAATATCTAATAAAAGTAAATATTTTTAATTGTTATTATTAATAATAATTAACTAGGTAGTTAGCTAGTCTCATGTTTTCTTTTGTTGTTAATATTATTTTGTTCCTTACCTGTATGGATTTGAATCAAAGCTTCATTTTTGTCCAATTTGGGTAATTTTGCCATTTCTTCCTCTAGTAACTCTTGTTTATTTATTTCAATATTATCAAATGATGTTTGTACTTTTGGATCTAATGATTTCATTGCTTTTTTGTTCTTTGTATCTATTCCAAGCATTTTTCGTTTTTTTCCTTCTATAATTTTATCCATCATACCAATTACCTATAACAATATACATTATTTTTATGAAATGATATCCTTTTGATAAGATACTTTTAAAAATTGTTCACTTAATAACCTGTTTTTGTCTTTCCTTTCTTAAACATTTTTCTTGTTCTATATACAATGTATTTCTGTATTCTTCAAAAGCTTGTTTCAAAGAATCAGATGGTAATTTTTGAAGACATGAATATTGTACAAGTCGTGCAATACCTTTTTCAAGTAAAAGAGATACTTCTTCTGGTTGCAATAGTAATGGAAGACCTAAAAATATGTCTTGTCTGGGTTTCTTTGGAAGACAACCTATGAGTTCACCAATTATTCGATAATCTTTTCTAAGTTTCAGCCAATCTGAAAACAAAATAAAAATAAAAATTTACATATTATGTTAAAAAAGCTTTTAATTACATTTATACACTTCAATCTTAAAAATAATAATAAAATTGTTACCTTCTGCATTCCATATAAAGACATTATTTCTTGATAAAATTAAGTCTATCATTTTTAAATATAAAATTTTAAAAATTTTCACAATTATAATTGTATCAGATATACTTATTTTATATGTAATATCAAATTTATATTTTATTATGTATTTCTATATACTATCAATTTCAATACTGATCTATATAACATAAAATAACAAGTTTTCAGTGACTTCTCAGAGTAATAATAAAAAATTTTATTTAATTACTTTACTTTATCGTATAGTGAAGTACTGTGCAAGATTTGTAAAAAAATTGTGTATCATGTTTAAATTCTTATCGCGATATTATTTTCAAAATTCCTATGACTTGCTTGATATTATTGACATTTAAATACCAATTATAATTGCTGTATTTTATAAAACGAATAAAATTTTTGCCATTTACTTCGTTTACAGATGTCGCTATTCATCATTTCTAAATAATTATTTCGGGTAGAAGGGGAAGGAAGAGGATTGTCGAACATCTGTCACCAAGCGAAGGCTACGTCCGTTTTAGTCCCAAAAACCGCAATACCGTCATGGCACCCGGTTTTATAATTTTTTAAAGAACTTCCAATATATTTGCAATCGGAATCGTGTTCATACAGTGTTGTTATTTCTACTCTAACATTTGTTCGTATTTGGTGAGTGATTAAACGATGCTACATATTCTTGTTTACCAATTGCGTAATGAACAAATAAATCGAAATTGAAGGGCAAGCCCTTCAATTGAAGAACTACTCATTTTTATGACTAACCTTCAAGTTCGAAACGTGCATACTTTTATTTCTTTCAATTAGATTTACGTGTTTTAATAATGCGCGTATTAATATGAAGTCTATTTTGGTTATAATATTTATTTCGAATATTTCATTTCGTTTGAGTACGTTTTGTAAGTTTTTCCTAATTGTGGAAACGTAATTAATGATTATAAAGATAATTGTATTTTCTATGTAATTATGTATTCGAATGTTTTAATGATACTATTTGATTGTATTTTCGTTATTATTTTTTATTACAAGTAAATTTTTTATGTTTTCTATTAGTTCATAAATATTGTGGAAAAATAATTTATTTTAGTTAATAATATTTATTTATTGCTGCAGTACAGGAAAAATGAGTTCAGGTAGACCAATCAAATGTGTAGTGGTAGGAGATGGAACAGTAGGAAAAACATGTATGTTAATATCATATACAACTGATAGTTTTCCAGGAGAATATGTTCCTACAGTGTAAGTACAATGTCAGTCATCATTAGAATGTTTTACAATAATATAGTATGAACATAATATATATATATATTTAGAAAATATATTTGTGTTTTTAAACTTAATATCTACATGAATTTTTATTATTTTTTTCTTTCTCGAAACTGTGAATTTAGACACTTAAAGACAATAAAGCAGATATCTTTCTATTGTTTATAAGACATAATTCATTCTATATTGTAATTTTTTTAATCTTAAAATTCTTTTAAAATTTATAGGATATTTTATTTTATATTTGACTTTTTAAACCTATGTTTACTATGTTTTACTATTTTTCATAGGTTTGACAATTACTCAGCACCTATGGTTGTTGATGGAATACCTGTTAGTCTAGGGCTTTGGGATACAGCAGGTCAAGAAGATTATGACAGGCTTCGTCCACTCTCATATCCACAGACTGATGTTTTTTTAATTTGTTTCTCAGTAACAAGTCCTTCATCTTTTGAAAATGTTACTAGTAAATGGTACCCAGAGATAAAACATCACTGCCCAGATGCCCCGATGATACTTGTTGGAACTAAAATAGACTTAAGAGATGATCGTGAGACGCTTACTGCCTTAGCTGAACAAGGTCTTAGTGCTATAAAACGCGAACAAGGACAAAAACTGGCAAATAAGGTTAGAATAAACATTCATAAATTTTAATTAGTTAATAAGAAAATGAATTGCAGTAATTTCCCAATTAATGAGTTACCTCAAATGTAACCTATAGATTCGTGCAGTGAAATATATGGAATGTTCAGCACTCACACAGCGTGGTTTAAAACAAGTGTTTGATGAAGCCGTACGTGCTGTTTTAAGACCTGAACCTCAAAAACGCAGACAAAGAAGATGCATTATGCTTTAAACATTATTTAATCAAGATTCAATAGGTAAAATCACATCTAAACTGACAGACTGAAATTAATTTTCTCAGAAACAAAAGGAACAAAATATGGATGTTTTGAAAAAAAGGTAGTAAACTATACATTTTAATCAATTCCTCTGGCAGCTATAGTTTAATGCATTATAAATGGAGTACAATTTACAGCTTGTATTTTGTTAAAGCAAGCTATAAAATTAACATAAGACTAGAAACTTAACAAGAAAATATGATATTATTTTAACCAGTACTTAATGTCCAAATAAATAAAAATAATTCTAAATTTGCATGTCCAAGGTAGTGGTTTCAATATAATTTTATACATTAATGCACTAGTCATGTACTAATTTACAATATATTCATTGTTTGCCATTATGTTTTTTATAAAATAACAATTTTTGTCTTTTTTAATATAATCTAATTTATGTTAAAACAAAACTAACATATTACAACAATTTAAAATGTTAAAATTTTGAGCAAAAAAGCTGCCAGATTTCTAAATTTTTATACCTATAGTAGTAAAAACATTCATTTAGTATATACATATGATAGATATAACAATCGATATACTATCAATTTTTATAAAATGTAAAATAGCATTGTAGAATTATTTAAACAGATAGTGCCATAGCAACGAAAAAAATCAAATCAATGATACAAACATTTTTTATGTCAGTTCTAGACAATATATGTATTTCTTAAATCTTGTATTAGAGGACATTGAAAAAAAGTATAAAGGAATTGAAGAATTTCATAATAAGAAATATTTTATATTTATCTTAAAATTTTTGATAAATATTGCAATTGTAATATTTATTTATACTCTGACAGAAGATACATTATGCATAAAATACTGCCATTAAATAGTCATATGTTCTATGCATAGTAAATTTAGTAGTTTTATATGGCACATTTTATTGTCTAGAATTTGAACATTTTTCTCATAACTACATACATAATACAAAATGTAATGTATTATGTATATTTTAATATTTATTTTATTTTGATTACATAATGAGTAGTCATACTCAAAGAAAATTTATTGCAAAAACATTTTAAATGTTTTTACATCTGAAGTTGTATTTCTGTTGTTGCATGTGGCAGATACAATTTTACAGATTGTTACAGTGGTGCAATCTGATTAATGAAAGGCTCTAAATTATTTTTCATAAAAACTGAGGAGTGCATTGTGAAAAGAATAATCAAAATATATTTAAGAAAATGTAATACCAATAACAAACATATGGTGCAAAGTATGCCTATAATACAGAGAACATAGCACAATTTATTTTAAAGAGTAGCCATGACATTTTTAACCTTCTATTATTATTTTTATAAAATTCATTTACATCAATTTTTACATTAAAAACATTAATAATACATTTTACAATAACAAATAATACATTTTATATCGAACAAATATTCTTGTTTTGCTCTTACATATGAAATTATTTACACATCCATACCTATATTTAATTTATTTACTGTATTGTAACATAGTTTATTTACATTTTATAGTAGTAAAATATTATTTTGATAAATATTACATGCTCTCTATAAAAGGACTCAATAAAAAAATAGTGTGATGACTAACAAATTTTCCACCACTTATGAACATGCTATTTTTTTATATTTGGAAGAAAGTTTAGGATATAGGAAGATAGGACATGCGTGCCATATGCTTTCAAATTTATAAAATGAATATTGAATATCATACTTTATTTGTACTTGTACTCAATGTGCATTTCGAACGAATTAAAGATATGTCAACATATTTAAAAAAAAATTCCTAGTGTAAGTGAAGAGGTGAACTAAGAATGAGGCATATTAATGCTTGCTAAGTGTACATACTGTAGCATAGTGGTAACATGCTCTAAATTTCAATCAAATTTAAACGAATGCTATAACTATCTTTCTTTCTTCTGCTGTATTTCAGTATGTACACAACCTGTTATTAAAGCAATTAGTGATGTGATTGAAGTATAGAGTGTGTCATAAAATGTTTGCAGTAAGCTTTTTTTATATACTTTTTATTACTTTGTTATATGTGCTATAATCTTGAATATCACAATTATTTTTGCTATTTTTTGCTGCAATATTTTATAAATTTATGTTTCAGTTAAGAACATACAATATATTTGTAGTTCCTGCATAAAACAATTGTTTTTCAAATGTTTTAAAAAGCACAATTGAAAATGACATTATTATTATTGTTGTTCTACAACAGATTTAAGCTTAGGAATTTTTTATATTATGTACATACGTACATAAATGATACATTTATTATATAAATTAATCAGATATCAGCAGCGTGTTATATAGTAATTGTACGTAAAGTTTGCATTTATTGTAAGTAGTGCATTTATTTTACAATTATTATTGAAGATAAAGTTTATCACACAAAAATTAATTGAAAATAAGGATAAAACGAAGCACAATTTTAAATAGTATTTAAACATTTAATTTTTAAGGTTAACACGAGGAACTTTTTTGCAGTATTACAATGTAAATAAAAATTTTTATCTATTATTCCAAAATTTACTACTTATACCTGAAATTTTTTTTGTATACACTATATTTAAACTGATATATATTTGCAACTATACAAGAATAGTTAATGGTAGTTCTATTTAAGTGAAAAAAAAATAAATAAATAAATTCAAGCAGCTAATATGAAATATGCAAGTAAAATGTTTCGTAATATGTATATATATTTCTTTTTAGCAAATAGGATTAAAATTGATAAATATTCATATTAATAGCATAACAATGAATTCATACAGGTTGGTAAGATGAATTACACTACTTACAACTTGTGCATTTAATATAAAAAGTATTTGATATTGACTTTTCTCTTTTTTAAAAACAAGAAAGTGACAGTAATGGATGCTACAAACCAAAGTTAAATGTTACTTTTCATGTAACATTTATTCTTTATTACGTATTATTGCATATAAGTGTATGAAGTGTAAAATATTCTAGTCATCATGAATTTGATTTTATTTGTAAATGAGAAACGTTTTATTGAAATTTTTATTCAATTTATATCTAATTAATAAATATTGTTTTATTGAAAGAAGAAAACAATCAAATGATAAAATAGAGAACATGAAAGTATTGATCTAATTTAAGATATTGTCAATTTAAATAAAGCAAACTAAACCAAACAAGATGGATAAGAAATTGTTAGAATACAAATGTATGTACATGTATTAAGTAAATTTAATCGTCAGTAACTTAGAAACAACATTTATCTATTTTCTTAAAATTTCTGTAAAATTGCTAATTTCTGTACTAATAAATAGACTGCAACTATTTATGCAAATATATATTTTCACGAATATAATTAAAAAACTGAAAAATAAGTAAGCAATGATTTCATTTATTAAATATAAAATGTATTATGTTTTGGATACTTTATATATTTTTGCTCATAGTATTCATTTTTTTTATATTTTAAAATTTTTGTTATAAATGCATAAAAATCTGCAGTCTATTAATAAAGCAGCACAAGAGAACTTTATGTGAATACAAATAATATTTTATTTATATCTGTGTATAATTAATAATACTAAAAAATTTTATATAAATTATATTATTACATTACATAATAGTTAAATTTTTATTAAAATATAGTAATAATCATTGTATTTTCATAAATAAACTCTTTTGCTGTACAAAAATGAATACAGAGATATAAATTAAAAAATTAATTTTATCTATCCTATTTTCTTATAAAAAAATTCAAATTACAGTGTTGAATAATAATCAAAATGTATCTATATAAATGCATGTTCTACCTACATACCACTGGAAAGCATTTACTTTTATTTATGTGTATTTTAAAAAGGATTTCTTAAAATAAAGTACACACAAAATATTTAATTTTTAATTATTTATTCATCTATTAATTTAATTTTTCAGAATATCGCAATACGCGTTAAAATATTTGAAACAAAAATTATTATAGAACTTTAAGCAATTTTATAATATATCTAATTCATTCTAGTCATTGATATAATTAAATTTCTGTTTTTATTTTAATTATTTTTGTAGAATTTAAAATGTAAAAAATATTTTGGAAAAAATTTTAATACAAAAAGCAAATTTATAGAGTATGAGTTTTTACATAATGTAACAAGAAATTGAAAAATTGTATTCAAATGTTAACAATAAATAAATAATAATAAATCAAAATAAAGTAAAAATAAAATATTTTTATTTTCAATACTTAAAAACTTTGCACTTAAAGAAAATAGCATAAGGCGTTTATTTATTAATTTTTGTATAAATATGTACATTTTGTACACAATTAGTATTTTGTGCCAATATCATGTTAGAACTAATTTTCGATATAAGTATCATTTTAATTTATGAAAATTAATGAATTTACGTCTAATAGTATATATAGATCAATACTTATTTGCCTCCTACTTACAAATGGGAGACGAAGTGAATGAATAGGATATACATATACTTGTTTAATCTAATCTAGACGTGTGACCATATGATCAATTAATTTCTGTTGTATATTGCAGTAAACATAACCTGTGTATAATTCTAAAAAATGTTATGCAGAACAATTTTTAATATTATCCGAAGAACAGAATGTATAAATACGCAAATGTCATGTACATTAAGAAGCGTATTAAAAGTAAATTCTACACCAAGCAATTTACTTATAAATTGTTCATATCCACAAAATCTTAATTCTATAATATTCGTAAGATTTAAGAGCAAAGGAAATATTTCAAAAAAAGTAAGATAATTTTATTACATTATATTATTATTATATTATTTTAGTATGCTTATATTTGAGATATTCAATGCATTAAGTATAAATTTTGTATATGTATACATACATACATTATTACTTATTTTAGTTATAAGTTTATTATAATTACTTATTTTTATAATAAAATGTATAACTAAATATTTACAGTTAAAAAAATTGTTTGGTTGTTGGAGTAAATAATTTTTATTATAAATAATAGAAATACTTTGTATAAAAGTTCTGACATATTTAAAAAGATATTTAAAATTTAATAAAAAGAGAAAATGAAATAATATTCAAAGCATGTTGAATAATATCTTAAATATAGTTAATGTGCAACATGTAATTGAAAAGAAGTCAAAATACAATACAAAATATTGTTTATATTTCTATTATTTATAAATAATTTAATACATTAAAAGATTAAATAAATATTTGATAACTTTGATAATTGAAAACATAAAGTACTGTAATGTCTAAATTTAAATACATAGAGTAAGGATGAAGAATCAGATGAAGAATCAGATGAAGATGATTTTGAAACAGAAATTGGTACAAAAGTAATTGAAGTTACAGTACCTTCTCTTCGATTGGATGTTATTGCTAAAAGTGGTTTTGGAAAGTCACGTGCGTAAGTTATTGTTATTATTTATTAAAATACATAACTAATATTGTTTATTACAAAATATATATAATAAAATATATAAACTTTTTTTCTAGCCAATTAGATAAAATTTTTTACAATAGTAATTTACGTTTAAATGGAAAAAAGTGTTTAAAAAAGGCAACAATGGTATGATACTTGATAATAAAATTAAAAATATTATTTATTAAAATAAAAATGTATTATAATTTAATTATTTAGGTCCAAATTGGAGATGAAATAGATCAAATTCAGGGACGAAGTCCTAAAAATCCTGAGTATTTGATAATAAATCGATGTGTATTAAAATCAGTCAGTGTAGATCCAGAAACAGATACTATCAAAGTAAAGTTAGCTCAAAATAAATCCTTATTAATTGAAGATTATACAGATAAATGGCATAAGTCGTAATAAAGTGTAAAGTTTAAAGATAAAAGTGTTCATTAATATATAATATTAATATTTATGTAATAGATGTATAATAGATTTTATAAAAATAGAATAAAAGAATTTTTAATAATATGCAAGTTTTAAAAATGGCTTTCAATAATATAACAACTAAATTATTTATTAAAATAGTTTCATGTAAAGTATCTTACATTTATTTATTTGATTTAATATTTATTTTTGCTAGTGTGTTTTCTACAATTTTATTGCACTGCAAAAAAAATACACACTTTAAAATTATATTGAAGAGAAATTATATTACTTTTGTATTAGTTAAAATAAAATTCTATCTACTTACATAAGTTATACAAAGTATTCCATTTGAATATAACTTATTTAAACCTTCTAATGCCTTTGTAATACCAGATATACATTTGATTTCCTGAAAAAAAGTAATGATAAATATATAATAATACGTAAATTGATAATCAAACTAATGTTATTAAATTTTGAATAAAATGAAATAAAATATATTTACTTCCAAAACAAATATTATATCATCATCATTTAAAAATGGTAAAAGTGCAAGTGCTAAATGTACTTGTTGGCATTGAAGACAATACTTTATGATGTTAGTTAAATTTAACATATGTATAACTGGACATGAATATAAAAGTTGTAAAGCTTCGATGCAGTCTTCAATTTGTTCAGAGGTTGGATTCATATCCATTTTTCTAAAAGGTTCTGAAATTATTGCTTCCCATCCCAATAGATATCCATTAGAATTTATAATAGCATTTATATTCCGTATTTGTAGTAAAATTGTTTTTAATTCATTTATCTGTAAATATAACAGAAATGTATAAAATATTATTTTTATATAGTTTAAAATATATTAATTTAAAATAATAAGTTTTATTAATAATTAACCATTAACAATTTAGCTAATTTGGTTAAATTTTTATTCCAGAGAGAATATTCATATATTTCAAAATCTATGCAAAGTTGTGCGATAATAACAAGGGCTTGCGGTGAATAACTTTGTGTTTTCCACAGAATTTGTATAAGTTCATGTTTTTCACACGTTTCAAATGTACTTATACTATAACCTACTCCTAATGATTCCAATTTACTTATATATTTCAAAGATCTCATGTAACTTCTGAAATATAAACATTTGAAAATATTATATAAAATAAGAAAATTAAAAATATAAAAGAATTAGAAAATAATATTTACTTAATTGTTTGGAGATCACGTTTAGTTAAATGTTCTAATTTAATAGGATGAACTATAGTTTGTAATATACGAAGAGCTCTATAGCATGCTTCAGGATTATAGTTTTCATTTTTTTCATCAAAAGCTATATTTATAAGAAAATTGGCTGAAAATTCGAGATCTCCATATTCTAAAATATAGCATGCTCTGGAAATGTATTAACAATGTTAGATATTTTACATAATGTATACAAAAAAAGAATATTTTAAATATACTGGTACCTCAATAAATTATCATCAGAATTTGAATTTGATTCGAAATTTGTTGTTGCTGAAAATGTATCTGTTATACTTTGATTAAGTTTTATATATTTAGTATCTGGTTGTAGCCATTCCTGTAATAATTCCATCCGTAATTTAATCATGTTGATAGAAAATAACTGACTGAGAGAGTTAACTGCAGAATTTATATCAGGTCTATGATCAATAACACATCGATATCTTTGAGGAATACTTTCATCTGCATATAGTTCACGAACTAGTTTATTCGGATTTCCGATTAATGACAAATAATTTTTGTTTTCTAAGCCATATACATGTAAAATATGTTCCGATGTAAATCGTAAATATTTGAATTTTATTTTCTGAAACAATGTAGAAATATTAAATTAATATATTAATAAAATTGTAGAAAACAAAATAAAAAATATACCTCTAGCATTCCATCTTCAAACATTGTAGATTTCTGGGCTGATAGCTGAGCATATTTATAACACTCTTGAACAGCTGCTACTTGATCAGCTCCTAACAAAAATGAGATTATTTTATTCTGATTTGTCAAAATACTTTTTCAATAAGATATGATATAATATATAAAATACCTGGTGGTGTATGATTGACAACATAATATAATGCTGCTGTGCCATAATACAATGCATTTGGGCCAGTCATCCTTTTTATACATTTTTTTATATCATCTAATAAACTATTATTTTTTAAACAAACAGACCATTTAACTGCTTTATGTTTATTTTTCCAAATATGTGTTACTTCTCCTTTTATGGCTAAAGTACATATGATATGAGGTTGTAATTTAAGAATGGGAGCAATATCTAACCATTTCTCATAAGTCTTCAAATTTAATTCTGGAGCTAAAAGTATAAATCATTATTAAGATAATGTCTTACTGTTTTGTATAAGTTTAATTATTTATTCAAACACAGGAAATATTATGCAGTAAAAAAACTTTACTTATAAGTTTCCACAATTCAATTTTAGGTAGAAAAGGTAATCGCCATTCTGCTATAGATGGTAAGGATGTATGTCCTGGGTTAAGATGCATCCATTCATCACATTCTACTTGTGTAGCTGGACTAAAAAAATATATACATATATAGCAAATATATATAGATATATTATTAAAATTTGCAAAATATATTACTACGGTATGTTAAGTATATATTCTTACCCAATACGAGTATAATTTTGTAAAAAACAAAAATAATTTCTATGTTCTATATTTTTTTCTTCTATGAGATCCATAAGAATTATAAATATTTCATAATAATAAAAATTTATCTAAAACATTTAAGTGAATTTATAGTTTTAAACATATTACATTTATAATATGGTATACTCAATACTTTCATACTTGTGATAAGACAGTTGTAATATAATTTTTTAAAGCAACTTTATCCAAGATATAAGCAGCAATTCTATTGCATTTTATTCTTAACTCGTTTACTTCATCTTCATTAATATGCAATTCTAAAACCACAATTATAAAAAATATTGAAAATGAATGTATTAACGTTTTATTTTCTAATCTTTACCTGTTTTTCCATTGTAATTGTTTATATTTAATTTTGGTTCCCATGTTTTTACTATCGTTTGTAAATAAAGTAATAAACAATCTTGAATATCAAAGCCAAAATCAAAGCAAAATTCTTGAAATAAAGGGACCATATCATCATTATAATTCATAATACGTTGCAATATCTCTCTCTTAGTTGTATTATCGCTTGTTAAGAGTTCTGCAAGTATTTTTTTACAAATATATTTTTCATATATTTATATAAAATCATGCAAAGAAAGTAATGAATTAATTTAAACCTTTATATGAAATTAAATATTTAGATAATTTTTGTGCCCAATAATGCAATATTTTATTACTTTTAAATATTTCCAGAAATTTTATATTTTTTATTAAATGAAAATATTCATATCCAAGTATTGTTATTCTTAAATGTCGAGTGCAATCCGTTTGAAATCTAAAAAAATATATTTTTATATTATGTACTAATACAACTTTTACTTATTTGCAAATACATTAAAATACTTACGATTTACAAGCAGAAGATATCCATTTACATGCTTTTGAATCAGGCAACATAAACAAGCACGATAAACTAAGCTGAAGATCAAATGATCGGCTATTTATTATTTTTTTTAATAGTGTCATCAAAAGATGAAAATATACTGATTTAATTTTTATTAATAAAGTATCATTTATATTTGGTATAACGCAAAAATTGAAGTATAATGTTTTAATAATCTGCAGTAAGTAATAATCGTTATGTTCTATTTTAAAATTTTTTATTTTATTGAGCAAATCATTCAAAGGTTCTTCTGTATTTAGCTAAAAAAAATTACAATATTATTTATTTTATACATTAATACTCACCATGTATAAATATTAATATGTGTAATTCGAGTCTTATATATTAATTACCTGATTCGAATTTTCAGTTGGTACATGTTCATCAGTTGGTACATGTTCTACATTAAATAAATAGTTAGTTATATTCTATTCATTATATATATTATATTCAATATGTCAGTCAATATATTAGATACATAATATAATTACCATCATTATTAAATTTTAATTTAGCCATATAATACCTTTGTACAGAAATTACATTTCTACAAAGTGGTAATAAAAATTCATCTGTTGCAATAGCTAAATCTTTATACATTGTATATAATTTCCAGTTTGATTTTGGTATTTCTTCATTCCTCATATATGATGAATCCAGACCGTATCTAAAGTTTTTATTAGCACACTTTTGATATAAATTTGTCCATGTATACAATAATAATATAGGTTGTAATTCATCTAAAAATCAATGTTATTAAATATAAAATTATTGGTATTTAAACAATTTACATACCATTTGAACATACGCATAATGCAGCAGAACTTAAACTCTGAATTGTAAGTGCAACATCTGTATCTATTTTAATATCCTGCATAATTAATAAACATATCTTATATACAAATTGACATTCATCTGTCATTATATTTAATTGTCCTTCTTTGCATCTAAATACAAATAATTATTTTAATTAAACGTAACGTTATATTTTAATCAATATTAAAGCCATACCTAATGAAATAATTTAATATGTTTATATTGTTTGTCTGTTCTAGTAATATAGCTACAGCATTAATTCTTTGTAATTTAAGTAAATCTGCAATCTTTATAATTTTTTTATAAGTGATCAATAAATTTTCATCTTCCTTTATGCTCACTGAAATATTAGTACAAAAATTAAAACTATAAATACTTAATTATTAAGTATAAATATAAAGAAAAATTATTTCATACCATTATGCAGTCTCTTAATGTAATTTTGCAATATTTGCTTTTTTTTAATTTGATATTCTTTCAGTGTAATATCAATTTGGAAATCTTTTTTTAAAAAATACATTGATTTTATTTCATTTATACTATTAATAACATTGTTACAATGATTGAAATGGATTTTGCACTTTCTTGAAAGCTTTCCTAATTGTAATTTTACCCAACCCAACATTTCAATATGATACGTAAGGGATTCAGGCATGATCTGTGCAACAAATGTAGAGTTAAATAATATTATTTACTACTGTAAAAAATGTAAAGATATTTTTGAATAAAAATTGTTTCAATATACCTTTAACGTTAAACTAGCTATTACATAATTAACGATTTGTACACAACAATATAATAAAACATCATCTTCTAAGGAATTTAATGTCTTCATTACATTTTCAAAATTGCTATAAGAATTTTTATTATTAGGTGATTTTAAAGAATTATTTTATGCTTTGTATTAAAATATCTTACCTTCTAACTAAATAATAATTTACACAAGATGAAAACGCTTTTTTTCTTGATAATAAATCATTTTTAGTTATTTGTTCAATATCTGAAATCATACTTTCACGATTTTCTTTTATTATACGATGTATTAATTTCTGCAAAAGATTAAATTATTAATAAAACACTTAAATTGCATAATTTGTTTTTTTGTAAATGATTTGTGAAATTTACTGACATTATTTATACCAATGCGTTCATATCCATATTTCTTTAAGATAAGTTTAATTGGAACACAATTATGTTCTATCCTGATTTGGGATGTTAAAATGTGGTCAAAATTATAACTTGTTTCTGTTAAAGTTACAATAGTAGAAGACCATGGAACTGTAGCTTTTTTTAATACCTCTAATGTTTGTTGTAATTTAGTCTGTAATTAGACATATCTTGAAATATAAATATTTTTAATTTTACACACATATATATACCTCTATATTCTGAATTAAATTAATAATAAGAACAATTTTTTTCTCCCATGGAGTTTCTTCACCAGACCACCAATTTCTAGAATTCCTTAGAGTTCTCTATATAAATATAATTTTTATTAATATTTAATATTTCATTAATTTTAATTCAAGCATACCTGTACATACGAAGAAAACACATAATCATTTTGTAAAGAATTATTCAACATGTATTGTTTTAAAAATGTATTTACAAATTCTTGAATTATATCTGTATGTATTTTATCCAGTAATATATATGATACTTCCAAAGGCTCTTCAATATACGAATTAAGAGAGATTATTAATCTATAATTTTTATTTATTACATTATTTTGATAAACGTGCGTATCATTTTAAATAATTTAAAAAATTTAAAAGTTTATAATATTACCTATAATTTACTTTAAGTTTTTGAATATCAGACATAGCTTGTATTAAAAAAACAAGCTGTTTTAAATTAGAGTCTTTGTTTAGATATTCTTGCTGGAGATATAAGGAATGATGGTTTCCTTCAAATTTCAATAACTTTATAAACTTTTTTGTAAAATCAATTCCAATCTGAGGCCATTTTGAACGATGAGATTGTTCAAATGATTTAATTTTTTTACTAGCCCAAAGAATTATTTCACACATTGCATTAGGAATAATTGACAATAAACTGGGAATAAAATGTGATAACCATGACCAAAGAGCAATTAATGATATCTTCTCAGGAAGAATTGCAAATATATCTTTCACAATTTCTATAGATACATGTTTTATTAGATCTGGGAGATGTCTTGTCCAAATTAAAGTAGCTGCTTCCATTTCACCCTATAATTAAAAAAAAATATAATAATAAAAAGAATTGAACCAATTTCATTAGGTTAATTTAATAGATTTTAGTTAGTAACTATACTTTACCAAACACAAATATGTTTTGTATTCTTCCATTAAATTTGCACGTGAAAATCTAATCCATTCATTTATAACATCTTCATCATAATATTCTACATTTTTCTGATAACCCCAAATCATATGAAAACTTTCTAGCTTATGCAGTATATTATTAGTTGAAGAAAGAAGATTTAAATATTTCTCATCTTTCTAAAATTAATTATATAAATATCATTAATATGGAACATAAAAAAATTAATACAAATATTACCAATTAAAAATTATTTACAGCAGCATATTCTATTACTCTTGAATGTGCATATAAATTAATTTTTTTCATTTGTTTATATTCTGATATAAGTACTTTGTTACAACATTCTACCACATATTGCACATCTTTTATTTTATCAAATATATTAAAAAGCATATTTAATTGAACAGGACTAAAATTTTTTTTTGTCCAAGGTCCACATTGTGACAGAAGCAATGTAACTTTTGCACAATAAATAGGATCTGTAGATAAATTAAATTTATTTGCAAAAGCTTCAGCTGCATCAAATTGTTTTTTTCTAACTAAACGTTGCAATTGATATTCAGGGAGACTTTCTGATATAGTTTTTATTCTAATTGTATCTATATATATTTCATCATTATTAGGACCATTAATTCCTTCCAAATATAAAATTATTTCATCACAAGGATCCATAATTTCAATAAGATATGTTGTAATTGATACATTTATTTTAAATTTTTCTTGGAAATCTGAATAAAATGAAACAATAAACATAAATGAAAAGATATAATATGATAAAATAATTATGTACATAAAATTAATGTCTTGTAGTACCTGGGTAAGAGACCATATGTAATGTACGTGTAACACAATTAGTATCATGTGTTAACATAAGGATTTGACACAAATTATTATTGTTACTTTCAATAATTGCAAAATCTAACACAGATTTAGAATATACTTTTACACCAAGTAAAGTTTGAGGACATATTACGCTTAAGATATAATCTGCACGTAAACATAACATTGCACTAAAATGATCAAAATGAATGTCTTCTGTTAGAGTTTAACAATTGTTTAATGGTTATATAAATACTTACATGTAATTCTTGAAAAATTTAACTTTAGTATAATTATAATTAAATGTACTAAAATTAATATATTGTTCACTAGGCCACATAAATAACATATTTGAACATAACATAGCTATTGATATTTCCTTAGTTATCATACTCGAAGTAGCATATATTATCTACAAAATTCATAACATTGAAAATATCATAATAGATCTAGTTAAAACATATTTTTACACGTATAAATGCAAGTAATATAATTTACCTCATTATAAGAAAATCCTTTAAATAACTCTGTACATTTAATCTCTTTTGTTACTTCTTTTAATATATCATTAACATTAATTTCATTTGTAAGAGTAAACTGAATGAGTTTAGTATTAAATTGTGATATTCTGAAACATGAACATAAATTATAATATAAATTTTATAATAATTAAATTTCGTAGATTATTATTCACCTGTAAACAGCTCCTTTTTTTGTGACAAGATATATATTAATATATTCATCAGGTTCATTTTGTAGAAATATTGTTATTATTTTATCTTCAGTTTTTGTAATATTTCTATATATAAAAAATGAGTAATTTTATAAATGATATAATTTATTATATTACATATAGTATTTATTTATATATACTTACTTTGTGAAGATTATTTGTCCCTTATTTAATAAATAAAGACAATACAATGTTCCATTTGATAAAACAACAAATAAAAATATACCATCATGAGAAATACAGTAACATGTTATTAATAATTCGAAACTGACATTTACTAATATTTTTTCACATGTTTCATTTTCAAATATAGTGATTGATTTATCAATTGCTATACAAACTCTTGAATATTGTATAGATGCTAAAATATTTGGTTCCTTTGATACCTTATAAATATAAAGAAAAACATTTTATTTAATTTATTCATCTATATCATCTATTTCAAATACTATTTAAATTTATATTTTTTATAAAAAAAAAATATACAAATATACTAAATAATACAAATACTAAATATATAAAACAATTTTTTATAACTGAATAATAAAACACAATTATTAAATTAATAAATTATGTACAAAAAATAGCAAAAGATATTTTATAATGTTACAAACATTTGAAAACATTTGAAAAAAAATAGTTGCAGCGGTTAAATTTCACTTTATTTCACTAAGTTTTTTACAATTAAAATAAAATTAATATTAAATACCTTCTCATTCGATTGTATTGTTGCTGTAGTACAAGTTTCATATAAAGAGCCATTATTTTCTGTTATCGCTCTTGCCCCAAAATTTACAGTTTCTTCTTCTTTATCAAATCCTGAAACCACTTTATTCCACAACGCCATTTTACCCGCGAAATGCACTAACATCAAAAAGCGACCTCTGTGAAATAAAGAAATTTATTAAACATGCTGAAGTAGAATAAGATAACCTCAAAAAATTTTCTATAAAAAAATAACAACTATCAAAGACAAACATTTATCCTAAATTAATGTTCAAATATTTTTCATATATGTACTGTAAATATTTTCGAGAATAAATCATTATTCTCCTTTAAATTTAAAAAAAATGGACATTTTAAAAGCAGAAATAATGAAGAAAAGGAAACAATTGGAAGAAAGCAATATTTTGGTAATATTCTGCAGTTAATATACATAATATAGATTTTTTTAAAACTACTGTTTTATTTTGTTTCACAACTAAGTTAATGTTACAGCAAAATAACAGAAAATATTTTAGAAGAGGTGAATTAATAGCAAAGGATCAAGAAGTGAAAGAAATACAAGAAAATAATGATGAAGATGTTAAAGTTAATACAGCTCAACAAGAAGAAGATTCTGTAACTGATGGTAGCTCTGAACATTTAACGTTACCTAGACATGAAGTGATTAGAAGATTACGTGAAAGAGGTGAACCTATATTATTATTTGGAGAATCAGAAATAGAAGCATTTAAACGATTAAGGAAATGTGAAATTCTTGAACCTGAAGTAAATAAAGTAAGTACTTAAAATATTTGAAAACGGTGAAAAACTGTTTCAAAGAATGTACATATTTTTTATTTATATAATTTATTTTAAATTAAAGGGTTTTAGAAATGATTTTCAAGAAGCTATGGAACAAGTAGATCAAGCATATCTAAATGAAATACTAACTTCTTCTAAACCTCAAAATCGCGATGGGAAAGGAGATGTGAATGTACCAGATGAAGGAGTAACTTATGAAGACTTGCAAAAGATGTCTGTGAAATTAAACAAGGGTGACAGGGATTTTGATTTAAATGTCATTACACAATTTATACAATTCTTAGTGCAAATGTGGGGCAATCAATTAAATAGCAGGAGTACTGCTGAAAAAATGAGTACCAGAGGAAAAATGGCTAGTGCTACTTATGCCCAAACAAGAGAATATTTAAAGCCTCTTCTTAGGAAATTAAAAAACAGATCTCTGCCAGAAGATATTACCGATAGTTTAACTGATATTGTAAAACATTTACTTGAACGTAATTATATATTGGTAACTATGATTATTAATAAATTAAACAATTTTAATATAGTACATTTATTACAGTACATTTATTATAATTTATTTGTCAGGCAAGTGATGCATATTTGCAAATGGCAATTGGAAATTCTCCATGGCCTATTGGAGTAACTATGGTAGGTATTCATGCGCGTACAGGAAGAGAAAAAATTTTCTCGAAGAATGTGGCGCATGTAATGAATGATGAAACCCAAAGAAAATATATTCAAGCATTAAAAAGGCTAATGACCAAATGTCAAGAATATTATCCTACAGATCCCTCCCGTTGTGTAGAATATTCAAAAACATAATTACATAATTAATTTTACATATAGTATGTAAGTAATTATACATTGTAGAATATAGAATAATTGTACATTATCAATATTTCATTTGTTTTTTACTATTACCAGAGGAATTACAATTGTATCTATTTATAACAATATATAATATATAATCTATTTATAACAATAAAACAACTTATTTTTACTTGAATATTACCTTGCATTATATTTTTAATTTATTTGTATTTTTTTGTATCTTAAGTACTTTTAACAATAAATACTTTAGGAATTCATAAATTCATAAAAATAAGAATATTACATTACAAATAATGTGATTTTATCATTACATTTCCATGATATTTTATACATTTTTATGTTGAATTTCATTTTATTGTAGACGCCATTTCGTTTGATCTCTTTACTGCAGCTTCAACTGCATTTATCATAGAAGCTCTATAAATATAATTGATGGCGTTATATATTAAATTAACATATATAATTTTATGCATTTTACCTGACTTGTCCACATTCCATAGCATGAACTCCTGTAATAGTTGTACCTCCTGGAGAGCATACTTCATCTTTTAATTGACCAGGATGTCTGCCTGTTTCTAACACCATTTTACCAGCTCCAACTAATACTTGAGCTGCAAATTTTGTCGCCATAGGTCTTGGAACACCCATTTTTACAGCACCATCTGCTAATGCTTCTATAACAAGATATGCCTAAAAATCTTGTGTAATCTTAATGTTTGTCTTTAAAAAATAAGTAAATATATAATATTAAACACATATTTACATAAGCAGGACCAGATCCTGAAAGACCACTAATAGCATTTATAAGAGACTCAGGAACATTTTCAGTTACTCCAACATATGACAATAATGTTTCTATCATAGTTTCATCTTGATTTGTTGCATTCATAGAACAAAACACTAGACACAACATAAAATTATAAAAATACAAATAATTATACTTATTATTCATATACATTAAAGTCTCCTTTTACCTGTTATTCCTTCTCCAACCATCATTGGAGTATTGGGCATACATCTAATTATTCTAGGATGTGTGACAATAGACTTAAGTTTCTGAAAATATCAAATCAACTTTATAATTTGTTTCTATAAATAATATAGTTGTTTATATTTTTTTATACTAATAATTTTACATTAGCTAAAGATTCTAATGTAACTGCTGCAAGAACTGAAACAAACAGTTTATGTACAGCTTTGACTGTCATTGTCTCTTTAGTGCACTCAAGTGCATCATCGAGCATATGAGGCTTCATTGCTAAAAATATAATTTCACAATTATCCACTACTTCTCCATTTTTCAAAGTAGCATGAGCACCTAAGTCGTTCCAAAATCCTAGAGTTTTAGTTGTACGAGCAGAAACCCATACATTGTTTGGATTTAAAATACCTATAACAAAAAATGAGTTGCATTATTCCAAAATAATTGTAATTAATTGTAAACTATTAATCTTGTAATTAGTACTATAAAATTCTTTTACCTTTATGAATTAAACCTGCACCAATAGCACTTGCCATATTTCCACCACCAATAAAACCAACTTTAGTTGACGAAAAATAATTTTTATCCATGATTATTAGGATAATGTATTTTATAATTAACTTAAATGCAATCAATATATGTATTACTTATAATTACATATGTGAAATGTGTCTTCTGAATTTACGTAGTAAGTGAAGTATAATTATTTCGTTTTCAAAATATGTACTGTGTTATAACAAGAAATGAATTATAAATTAAATAATAAGATTTTTAAATTAATCATTTATTAAATATATTCTATTTGCCGTTCAAGATTGAATTTCTTTTTTATATACTTTCGAAGATACTTTTCGTATTTTTACATTTTTAAATAAGTGATTAGAAAAAAAAGAAACATGAAATATCACGAAGTATAAAAGGAACGTAGAAAGAGACTGGAGGAAGAAATAGATCAATAGGTATAATATTAAAAAATGTTGATTTAAAGTGATTGAAAATATTAATTTAAAAAATTCATTTATATCTTCAATATAAGTTATAGTTGAATATATTCGCCTTTATGTTAATTTAATTTTTTTACACAATGAATATTACCACGTTGAATGATATTTCATCATTTAGCAGTATTTTATATGTGTGTTCGTAAAAAATATACGAATTGTCATTTATAATTAATCAGTTAATTGTAATTGAATTTATAACAATATTTATATTTTTGATGACATTGGATTATATGAAGTTGCATTCGTTACATTGACGAAACTATACATGTGTAATTAATTAGTGCGTTTGACGTGCAATGATTGTTAATGATTATTGTTATTACGTTTAAGTGTATTTCTTAAATATAGAAATGTACAATACAACATGACATAAATTGATCTCCAAATACAATATAAAATAGATTTATTATAATGGGCAATTGTATACGAAGTATGCTACAAAGGTTACAAAAGAAGAAATGCTCCGAAAAGTAATGAATTAATGTATTAGGATACTTATATTGGGAAAATATATATTTAATAATCATATGATTTTTAGGACTATTATTTTGCTTATTGTGGGTCTTGATAATGCAGGAAAAACTTCGGTTTTGAACTGCATCAGTGGAGGTACATATATTTTATTTAAAAAAATATTTATTTTATTTTTACTGACAGTTGTAGTTGACTTTGTAAATTTTTATTGTATTTATTGCAACATCACATTATATATGCATAGTCGTGCTTTTTTTAAATTAGTTAAATAGTATATCATTTCTTTTATTAGATTCAGATAAAACTACATTACCTACAATGGGATTTCATGTAGTATCTTTAAAGTATAAATCATACACTGTAAAAATTTATGATATTGGTGGTAGCTCTCAAATCAGATCCTTATGGCTAAAATATTATAATGGTGTAAGTAATATTTTTGTTAACTAGCATCTTAATTAAAACCAAGATAATCCCTTGATTTTTATTCTTAATATTTGAAATTTGTCATTTCATTTTCTATCTTTTAGATACACGGCCTTATATATGTAGTGGATGCTAGTGATATTTCCCGCCTTACAGAAAATAAAGTGGTATTTGGTGAATTAATTTCACATGAATATATTTCGGGGAAACCATTGTTGTTGTAAGAAAATTAAACGTATTGCTTATATTTGCATTGTTGCTCATGCACAGAGTACTATTTGTAGATATAATATGCACCACTTAAGTACACAAAAGATACATGTACATAATATATACTTAACATAAGAAAATTTTGTACAAGTATATACTTCATTATAATACTTCATATCAGGCTTGCAAACAAACAAGATATAAATGGGGCTATTGATGAATTAGATCTTGTTGAAAATTTGGATATAGAACATGCTGTGAATACTATGAAATGTCCTACAAGAGTAGAAATATGTTCTTGTACTTGGAAAGAAGATCAGTCAAAGGATAATACCATAGGTATTAAAAATGGATACAAGTATGTCATTAACTTTTTACTCTATGTTGATTATAAAGATGTTTAGTTTTTATTAAACATAAATAAATTATATAGATGGCTGCTAGATATAATAGTGAAAAACTATACAGCCTTAAATAATAAAGTTAAAAATCAAAATGTTCAAGGTGAAAGAAATATTGAAGTACAAAGTATAGCATTAGATTCACCATCAAAGCTATCAATCCATTCAAATCCCTTTAAGCCAATCAAAGAATTAGTTTTAAAAAAGGTAATTATAACTATTAAATCTATATTAATTAATGTGTTTTTATTTTATTTATTATTATTTTAGGAAAGTACTCAAACACCAAGTGTCTCACAAAATGGTATGTAATGTTGAAATGTAAAATGTAAACAATATAATATATTTATATACTATATTTACAGGTATAGTAACAAATGGAAAAAAGCTAAAGAAAATGTTTACATGTAGAAATAAGACTGCACCACTTACTACTGAGGAATCTGTTATTGAAATTAATGATACATCACAATCTGTTAAATTTGCGCCAAAAGCATTAGAATCTCAAAAAAATATTCAGACACTTCCACCAATATTAAATCCAATAGCACTGGATACATATTCAAATAATATAGCAATTAGATTAAAAAATAATCGTCCATATACAGCTCCAGAGCGATCTCAACGTTTTACAAATAAGATAACAGTAATTAACATTCCTGGACAAGTAGCATGAAAATAATATTTTCAATTATACAGATAACAATATGGGACCACAATTAAAGAATATATTTAAAATTGTATCCAGACAAAATATTTTAACAACGAATTTTTTATATTTATCTGATATAACAAAAAAAGTGTTAGCAATGTTTACTTTTATAATGTGATCGATTTGTGTAAATACCTGTATACGTACATTTGTTCATAAAATATATCAATATAAATATTTTCTTCATTGTTTATGATATAATGTACATTTAATTTGCGTTTAAATTATATTTTATGATGCATATTTTTAAACTACATATTTTTAGTTTGATATTAAACACCATTTCTTTTTTACTTAAACTTTATTATATATTGTACATTTGCATACAAATTTATGGTACGTAAGAGTACATAAAAGTTTGGCAAATATACGTATTACAATATATATGAAAGACTTACAAAAACTATAGTATAAGTAAAAAACTTTCGATTATAGAATGGCAGTAAAAGTACATAAAAATTGTATCATAAAGCATCCTTATCACAATTTACAGTACAATAAATATTGTAAGTAGTTCCGTAACATTATCTTATTTGTAACATCATCTTGTTGAGCAACTACTTTATTATATATAATATATTAGTATATTGAAAGATTATACTAAAAATTATTACAATAAGGAACAATGAGTGTACTGTAAAGATTAATAATATTTTTTTAAGAAAAATATTTCGTATAAACTACTTATATTTCGTATAAACACATACATAAACACACCAATGAAAATATAGTGATCAAACCACCCAAAGCGACAATAAATTGTATTAATCAGTATTTTAAAATTACTTTTTTTTTTTATGAAAGACTGTTATATCACGTTTTTAGAAGTTTTTATAGATCATAATAATGCCATTTCAATTACAAATATAGCAATTTTGCCGTAATATTAATATTTTTCGTTGAATTCTTATCTACTTTATTTAATAATGCCATTTTCAAACTATGAAGCAACATAACACTTTGTATTAGCAATTCCAAAAGTATATGCAAATTGCCTTGCTTATTTCATATTTATTCTCTTAACACTAGATAATATTCGTTGTAATTGCACCTTATATAATCACAATTACTTCAATTAGGCAAGTTATATTTACTTATATATTCCTAAGTTAAAAATATTTCACTTTTTTTTTTTTTTTTTTTTTATATAAGATAGACTATTGCTTGTTATGAAAAGACACAGAGTTTGTCCTTCTGACTTTTGTACAATATAGCAGGCAGTAAATATATAAATTTTTTAAGTTGTTTTGCATTACAATGGTTACAAAATACTTTTTTTCAAAATATAATGTCGAAATTGTACAGGTAATATATAAATCACTTATAAAATTTTGTTTATAAAGCAGCAAAGGCAATCAATTTTAACTATTTTCTAACACAGCTATCTTAATTTCACTTTTAATTTGTACTTATTATATATTTCATTTATAATGGTTTTGAATATATTGTATTCAATTTTTGCTTGATCACTATTACATCCATTCTATGCAGCTTTCAAATGGTTTAAAAACTGTTAAAAATTATAGTTTATAATCTTATCATTATAAAATTCTATTATAAATATTAATCTTACAAAACATATAAGATTTGCAAGATTTAGGCAGTACAAAAATTTGTATGTAGCATAAAATCTACTTTGTATTGCTATATTTTGTCTGATACATTGTATATCTTTATTATATTAATCACATTGTTATTAACAATGATTGTTATCAAAGATAATATTTTAGTTAAGTAATTTTTACTTGATGTAACATATTAGGTAAAATATTTTTGAATTCCTAATAATACGATTAATACTACAAAGATATATAATGTATATATATAATATATATATATATATATGTATTTCATATTATATCATACTTCATAAATCTCTCATGTATAAAACGACTATACAATTCCATTTTTGGGAGGTGTAAACTTTACCAAACGAGTTAACATTGATGTAATACACGGAATTTGTTTCTGTTGATGCATTGTGATATTATCAGGAGTATTTGATTCGAAATCAACAGCAACTCGTTGACAAACAAACGTGAGCAAAGTTAATAAATCATAACGAGTACCGTTGTTTCGTAATTCTATGCACAATGCTTGTATAAACCAAGAACCGCGAGTAGTATTTCTCCAAGAATAATAACCTGTGTATATAAATAATATTTTTTTTAAATTAAATTTTATAAACACAAAATTAATTTTAAAAAAATTCTCCTTGTGAATGTAATTCAAAAATGTTATTGTACGAAAGAAATATAATTTCTTTTAAAAATCTTAAAATAAATTTTTCCTAAATTTTTCAGTATATAGCACGTTTTGATAAATTATAATAAAAGTGAAATCATCCAACATTCTGAGTATCTTTATATTTATAACAGTTAAATAAATCATATGTATATTTAATAGTATAAATTTAAAATAAACTTCATTTTGAACTTATATTTACCTGGTATTGTGGAATAAGCAACTAAAATGTCTGCTTGACTTGGTATACGGAATGTTGAAGTTGGTTGACCATCTGTTTCTGTACGTTCTTTTAATGTTGTTCCAGAATCTAATTTATCTCCTTGGCAAGCTTGTATAAAAAATAGTTTTGGTTTTCCAGCAAGTGTAGGACATTTATCAGCTGTAAAGTAAGACCAAATGGAATCATTCTTGTATGAAGTATCATGAGCATAAAGCATTCCTAAATCTCCGTGGCTCAATATAGCTATAACTAAGCAGTCATGTTGAGAATGATCCATGCCAGCAACTGTAAAGAAAAAGATATGATATTGAGAAATATATTCAATATGTCTTCATTTATATATTATCATGCGGAACTCAAAGAAAAGATACTTTTCTCATGATTAGAAAATAAGTACAAAAATTATGGAAGGGTAACATCAACTAAGTACCTCTTTCTAAATTTTTCACTATATCTCTATATGTGTAGTTATGAAAATCATTTACTTCAAAACCAAGATTTTTCAATGTACTGACAAGATTTTCACAATCTACATTTGTTCCACATCTTGGTCTAAGATGTGTAATAGTGAAAAATTCGTGATTAAAAATAATAGCTAATCCACGTTTTGCATGATTCATGTTGTAATGTGTGGCATAGCGGTCTGTGGGTGCCGTTTGTAAAGGGCCCATGAGAGGACTGACGCTGTTTCTGGAAAATAAAAAAAAAGGCATGCCTGATGTTTGGGTTCATTCAAAAAAATGGTAACCAATTTATGGAACATTAACTACCAGAAACCTGTAATTGTATGATTTTTATTGTTTTAGGAATATGTCATTAAATCCTTCACTGTATTAACATTATATTACAATGCAAAGAATAAAAATTGGAGTAAAATAAAACTTTCTAATTAATTTTAAACATAAATATATAACAAAATTCAAAGTTTCATGCAAGTAAATAACGTGTATCAATATACAATATGGGAAACAGCAAGAATACATCAAAGTAATAGTATTAGGATACATTTTATATTTATTATGCATGCTTGATCCTCCAAGTCATACCTCGAACATCCAAACGCATCTCCGACATCATTACTGTACTTTATACTATCGTTTATGATTTCATTTTTTGTTGAACACATGATTCCACTTTGAAAACAGTTTACACTGTGAGAAATGTATATAGTTCTACAGAAATGATCACTGATCACAATTTATTCGCGTGAATATAATACGCACTATAGCGCGCGTCGTAACTTGTCTCATGACTCATGCCTCCAGTTACTAAACACTACTACTTTATAAGAAGCCAACTAGGATTGGCTATTTCTGATAGATCCAATGTAATGATACGTGCATTGGCTGAAAATGTCACACACAAACAAGACTGTATAACAATAGATTTGACGGTTAGACATGACCATTGGCCAAGGACAAAATAAACCACTCGATACGCTTGTCATTTTCGTGTTATATGCGTCATTTACGTTATTAATTCAATACAACAATGGCTGGAAATAAAATTTCCAAAAATTTTTCTTTATACAATTACAAGTGAAATATAAATAAGATATTTCATAATTGCAAATCAAATGTAGAATTTTATATTACATTTTTTAAATGTGCAGTGAAAATGCGGCAATAACTTGGTGCTGCCATCTAATAAAATTATCTGGAACTATTTAATGAGATGTAACGATCGTTACCTCTTCAAAATTAACATCAACGCCATCTACATTAAAACAATCGTTCCGCCGAAAAGTGAGTTTTCTGTAAACCGACATCGCCAATTGTATATAAACACTCTTAATATAAGAATATTTATAAATTGTTATTTTATTTTTATTATTACTATGGAGATGTTATTACCATGTTTACTTATTGATAGAGATGTATACATAGACCCTATTTTATAATTTGTTATTCATTCCTTAATTAACATTCATAGAAAACAATTATCTATTTGCGTTATAAACTTTATTTAATATATCATTGTTATTTAAATATTATTTATTATAATGTATAAAAAGTTACTAAAGTTGCGGAGTTCTTCTTATTTATATTTGTAGTATTGTATTATTAATTAAATTGTCATTATAATCACTACAGAGAGGTAGGAACCTGGATTCTGCTATAGGTTCGCGTACAAAAATATACAAGTAATTCTTTTTACAGTTTAGATTTAGTCTTTGGTTTATTATCACAAATGTGCGCTTACAAATTTCGTACAGAATGGTTCTTATCCGTAGTAGCGAAGATAGTAAACGTAGTAGTAGTAGTAGTAGTAGTAGTAATAGAAGTAGTAGTAGAAGCAGTAGAAGGAGGCCTTTTTCCTCTTCGCAACCAGGTTTTATATCCTTGGCTTGCGAAGAGGGGGAAAACTTTTCCCGCATTTTTCCTGTTTTTCCGGGTTTTTTATTTCTTTTACAAAAAAGATGTCGCTGTCTGTTCTATTGAAAACTCTCTTTGCGACGGAAGATTTTAGCGGATGTAAGTGGTGCTGTTTCAAGTTGCACGGAGGTAGCGGTCGCTACAGAGATGTAGTGATTAATGATAATATTATAATAATATATAATATAATAATATAATGATAATATTATAATACTACAAATAAAGAAGAACTTTGTAACTTTAATAACTTTTAATAAATTATAATAAATTATATAACAATGAAGTTTATAGCAAAAATAGATAACTGTTTTTAACAAATGTTAACTAAGGAATGAATAACTAATTCTAAAATGGAGTCTTTATATATATATATCTATCAACAAGTAATCATGGTAATAACATTTCCATAGTAATAAATAAAATATTAATTTACAATTTGCAATGTCGATTTACAGGAATCGTACTTTTCGACAGAACGATTGTGTAGATGGCGTTACTGTAAATTTTGGAGATGTAACGGTCGCTACAGAGATATAGTGATTATGATAATTTATATTTATATCACAATACTATAAATAAATAATAACTCCGTAATTAATTTTAGTTGTTTATATAAAAATATTATCAACATCACAAAATATACAATTACTAATAATTTAATGAAGATTACATAATGGAAGTTAAATGACGAATAATTTCTATAAATGAAA